TACTGTAAAAAGCAAAAACATATAAATGCTGACGATCAGTGGAGAATTTAATCCCAAACATACAATATAAGTTCGGTCAGAATGAAGGGGCCTGGGAGAGATTAGAAAGAAGTGATGGCGAGGAACCAATGTAACAGATGTCAAATTTCGAAAAAAACGGGCTACTTGAAAGAATTAAGAATACAAATCTTCATCAGCTCCCCCGTCGTTGTACGGGTTGCGAGGTGCACCACCGGGTGGCGTACCGCCGGCAGGTCCACCACTTTCCGTAGGGAATCTGAAATAGGAGGAAGAAGCTTAGGTCGATCTTCATTAACAACGGGCTCATGTGATATACTAGGCTCGACGATGACCTTACAACGCATTTTTTGGGAAATTGAAAAAATAGGGCAAACCTGAAGTTTCCACCCATACCGCGCGACTGTTGGAGAGTCTGGGCAAACATTTCGTACTTCCTAATGTCATTGTCGGTCACCGAACGGCGAGCAAATCGCATAGCTTCTTCAAAGTGCTTCCGAGTTATCTCAGGCACAGGATCACTGTCATCCTCCTGTTGGGTAAGTTAAAAGACAACTCGACCTTACCATTGCTGATGGGTTTCGCTGTCTTTCGCGCTCTGCCCGTATTTCAGCCTCAATAGACTCCCGTATAGCTTGCTTGCAAGCACGTTGGCAAATTTCTGTCAGGTCGGCACCCGAGAATCCGGGTGTTGACTTGGCTAAGAAATTGATATCCACATCCTAAAACGCAAGTGGCAAGCATAATTGGAGAGCAGCTGACATTTTACACTAAATTTCGCTTTTACAGCCTTGACTATTGTAATAAGCATGAAGTAGGACTTTAAATTGCTATCAAACATGTATAAGCACAGCTTTTAATTACCTTCGCGATGGGTGATTTTCGAAGGTTGGCCTTGAAAATGGATACTCTCGATTTTTCATCAGGCAGTGGTATGTATATAAGTTGATCCAGACGGCCGGGTCTGAGAATAGCCCCATCGATTATGTCAGGCCGATTTGTTGCGCCAATGATAAAAACATTTTTCTTTGAAGACATTCCATCCATCTCTGTCAGCAGTTGGTTAATAACACGATCGGCAGCTCCACCAGCATCGCCGACGCTGCCACCGCGAGCCTAATAAATGAATATTGTAAAGATTATCCGGAATGAAAAAAGGCAACTGAAGGTGCCGTGGAAGTTCAGCTGCTCTAGATGCAGGAAGAAAACTCCTTAAGGGCAACACTCTCAGTCTTTGTGACCAAAGTACCATCAAACAGTGCCACAGTTGACGTGGGCGTAGCGTTAACACATCGAAGTGGCTGTGCTCTGGCTAGTCGGATGTCGCCACACTCAGCCGTTGACTCGGTAGACGAACAACAAAAAGCTAAGCCCAAGCAAGTGGGTTTTGATTGTGGTAGAAGATTTGCAGTTTTTACTATGTCCGGAACTGAAATGATCGCCTAGCATCTGACATCTAGCTGCAGTTACAAACTAGAAAGTAGTTTTGATAGTAGCAAAATAAACATCGGAACGCAGATGAGACAGTGGTCTGGGCTTGGTATTGTGCACTAGTCTTCTTAAATGCAAAACAAACGCCGTCGAGTGAACTATGTCCATCTAAGAGTTAATACGTTTCTAAGAGATAAGCAGTAACATTAAGAAGACTATCACTTGGGTGAACTGTATTGCAAACAATAAATTACTAGGTCAGCATTTCAAAATAAATCTATTTACCTTTGCGATGGAATCCAATTCGTCGAAAAACAGAACGCACGGGGCTGCTTGTCTCGCTTTATCGAATATGTCGCGCACATTGGCCTCTGATTCACCAAACCACATGGTGAGAAGCTCGGGACCCTTGATGCTGATAAAGTTGGCCT